CTACTGTATGCTTTCTGTGTCTGTATGTGCATTGCATTTGTATGTACTTTTGAATGTTTCGGTCTTTTGCTTGGCATTTGTGTTTTCTTTTTTGTGCGTGCTCTGTACTTATGTTATAAGGCACTTTGTAACCTAGGTTAAAAAAAGTTTTGCTTACTTACCTAAGAAAATATGGGCCAAATCGAGTATCGCATTGATTCCTTAAGGGACAGTGCATTTTATGTTCCCATACAGGATGATCCCATATTATACGGGATGGGTGGCAGGTAATTTTGGCACAGCTTTTCGGCACAGCTTTTCGGAAGTTTTTGAGTATTGTGTTGTTTTCTTCTTAAACTATTTCTTTGCTTGCATGTTCTATAATTTCTCAAGTCTATTAAATATTGTCAGTGCAGAAATCTTCATCCAATTAGCTGCAAATGTAGTAATAGCAGTGAAAATGTGTCTGAAATTTACCTTGAAATTTATCATTCTATATATCAGTCCCTGCCGTGCTGTCCAATGTTACATGTGTCTGGTATAACTACAAGTCTGCCCAAGGGAAAGCAGCAAAGGAAGACATCCTCCCAATGCAGGGGTATAGTGCATCACTCGAAACGTAAAGGGTGGAGTAGGGGAAGGGTAAATTTATGAACAAGGGTCAAGGCTTGTATCGTGGGCAAGAGGTCCAGACACAGCAGGGAGTCTCTGTGGGAGATCTCATCCCTCTGCAGGGGGGTGTTGCAGTGTTGTGTGAAAAAACAAAATGTCCTTTAAAACAGTTTAGCAAAGTTGTTCCAGTATGATGAATGATTTGATGAACTGTCACCACCGTAGTCATCTATTTCTTGCATCATGTGTCAGCACTCCATTTTAGTCACCACTTTATCACTTAAGCATATTGAAACCAGACAGATGTTAGTTTCTTTTTCATACATGTGAGACACTTGACGCTGATTTTAGTGGTTTCTGTTAAAGGGGAACACCGCTTAAATTAAGAATTCTTATATTCTATATTGGTGTTCTCATTTCTTCCACAGAATATGTACCCATATACACAGACTATTTCCCTGGCTGCTCTGAGTAACATCTCGAACATCTTTCCCTAATTCATGGTCTATGGAGCAGCTCTGGACTATTTATACCCTATGACATCACAAATTTGATTTTTAGCACTCTAGTATTTGAATTTAGGAGAGAGATGTTCATGTTTACCAACAGTTTTGGACCATCTAAATCCATAGAAATAACATATATGAATTGTAAAAATGAGTGTTGTTCCCCTTTAATGCTTATGGAGACAGATGGAATAAAAAGGGGAATGTATAACAAACACAGTGGCACGTTCCCAATGCCAAATGTTATTTGAAATTGATCGAGAAATATTGATGAAAAAAATTGTTTTTTTGGGGCGTCGGTAGCGTAGTAGTGTCGGTGCCCCATGTACAGAGGCGATGCCTCGCTGCAGCGGTCGTAGATTCGACTCCGCCTTGCAACCATTTGCTGCATGTCAGCAGGATTTATACTTCTGCGTCAAATTGACACCATACCTATAGTGTAGGCTCTGCATAGATGTATAGCCTACGCCATAACCTGATGTGTACCACCCCAGAAATAAAACTGCACGTTGCAGCGACACAGACCTCCTGTCTATTCTTGTGAACTAAAAACCATTTCTCTCGGTGGAAACAAAACTTTTATTTATATTTCTTTTACAGATAAGAAGCACTAAATTGCAAAGACAATAAAGTGCACACAAAATGGCATCTGAAGCCCTGTGTGTGATTTATCCTGGCTTCGTTTGAGTAGAGAAAAACTCTGCTAGCTGCTAAGCTAATTTATACAATATATAGCCTAAAATGTCGTAAGTTTATGCTAATAACATTAGCATGTTGTATTTGTGGGGAAAATGTGTTTAGTATAAGACAGTTGTTTATCGATGACCCTTGTAAGCTGTAAGGGAGCCGAGTTTTGAAACGTTACCGTTGTGAAATGTCGCTGTTGTTCCTGGCTAATAATGTTAGCATGATGTGTTTGTGGGGAAAATGTGTCCTGCAAAAGACAAGTGTTTTGTGTGTGAATCTTGCCAGTTATTATGAAGCCGATTTGTGTACTTGTGTTTTAGATTATTGCTGTTTAGCCATGTTTAATGTGTGTTTCAGATATATTTTGAATCAATCGAACATTAAATCACCTAACAGAAATCGCACTGCTAACTGGCATTTTGGAGGTTTAATTATATATAACAAATGCCCACAACTGCATAGCCCATGTGCGTAGGCTATAGGCTCTGTGTAGAGGCAGCGCGCAAGTATATATCCGCCTTTAGAAAGCAACTATGCCCATTCACCATGCTGATACTCAGACACACCCTCTTCACTTTCAAACTCAAAATGGTGACCCTCTAACTATTCCTCACATTTTATTCACAGTTTTGAAATCTAGCAACACATTTCTGGCTCTTTTATTATGTTTATTCTATCATACTGTTTTTGTTATGCCATATACAAAAATAATATTGTTGGAAAGCTGATTTTTTGGATTAACAGTTGATGCTAGTGTTAGCTAATTAGTCTGAATTTTGTTGGTAGCTAATACAGGAGTCAAAAGTATGCCTGCTTGCCCTGTGGCAGTTTGGACAGTTACTGGGTGCAGCTGGGACAGTATTGTTCATAGCTCCTACCTTAGAAATATTTTTCCCTACTGAATGGTTTATTTTGCTTGGTTTAAACTGTGGCCCATGATCACTATCCTTTGGGTGTGCATGTATATTAAACAAAATAGTGCCTTTCACATTTGGGTTGGGCTCTAAAAAAATTCATAAATTGTTTGCAGACACCTGTATCTAGAGGATTAAATTATTTTCACTACTGTTCAAGCAGTCTTTGAGTAATGTAAGGGTGTCCCATCCAACCCCGCTCTCCCGTATTTGTCGTTAGTGCAACAACATAGGCCACTTTTACTGATGTTTTGGTGCCTTAACTTTATATTGCTGGTGTCCAGGGAAAATCAGGTATTTATAAATTCACAGACTTGTTTTAAGCTTGAATTTAATGATTAATATTTCTGTAGTTCAGTTAGTTTTCAATGGTTTTTTAGCCTAAGACATGAGATAAAGGATAAACCTGTAAAGGAACATTTAATCCTTCTGTTTGTCTGAAAACTTAAAAATCACTAATATGGAAATACATGATTTTCACTGGACATCTTTATATGAAAACCTGAAGTAAGCAGACACTATTTCCTTTGTTTTCGGGCAGCATTCACTAGTGACGATTGTAAGAATAGTCTAAAATGACAAAAACAATAATTCCTAAGCAATGGCTTTATCACGTAATGGCTTAATCTAAAGATAACAATGAATGTTTTCATCGTAATGAATTTAGCCTATATCAGAGCTGCAACAGCACCTTTAATGTTGATATCCTATCAGTTGGGTGGAATAGGTGCACAAGTTATGCTGAATTTTTCATGCATGCATATTTTCAAGCTCAGTGGTTTTAGCTGGCTTTTGTTGTTTTGTTTTTTCAAAGTTGTGCAACTGGAAATAATAAGTAAATAAAAAACACAATCCATCTACTTAATCCCTCGCATCCCAAGGTTGAACACTGCTGCCATTTTAAGGACCATCAGACCCTCCGTCACTTAAAATTAATTGGTAAAGTAGCGTGTGAAACCAGTCATTTCCCTGGATGGGCATTCTTATAGATCCAGATGTTTCTCTCCTGTGCCTTGTATACTTTTCACCTCAAATTAGGAACACATGTCCTCTGGATAACATTCACTGCAGGGCAGTTTTGTTGTCCTTTACATATTTAAAAAAGCTGCCCATGTGGTTATAGTTCTATAAAACTCTGGAGTGCCATTGTTCTAAGAGGGAAAGTTTAGTCTGGCCAATTTCTTAGCTATTCTCCCAGAGCGGCAAAACCCATCGCATGTGCAGAAGCACCGAGCCACATGTGAGAATGTTGTTTTAGTGTTTGTGTTTCTACTGTGAGACAAATCATCAAACTTGTTACTTAGAAGGAGAAGCTGTAAGAAGTCAACCTTTCCACATCACCAACTGTGGAAAATATGCTTATTTGTTTCTTTGATCCGAGTTATATCAAAGGGTGACACCACTCTCACACTGCATGTTACATATGAAGCAGGAGCCAGGAGACAGTTAGCTTAGCTAAGCATAGGGTAATGTTGGGCAAAGGTAAAAAAAAAAAAATATATATATTATTCATAGTTATTGTACACACAGAGTATACTTCTATGCAGGAAAATGAGGCATGTTTTCCAAAATGGTGTACTATTCCTTTAATTAATACACAGAGGTGAGAAGTTGCTGCTGTCTGGTTTGAAAGTGTAGCACTGTTAGCTGCGCAGATCCTGAGGGGAAGGCTCCTGTACTGTTGGGAACCCTGTTTATGATCTACATCACCAGAAAACAGACACAACTGATTTCATAAGGACAGATATTTAAAATAGCTAAAGCCAATTCTATTATATTTTAAAGGTGGTTTCATATGAACTCAAATGAACACATCACAGCTGGTCTGGGTTGGCTAACCTCTCTGAAGCATCTGTCTTGTTCAGCACATTTACATCTTTTTATAAGGCAAGTTGACGTCTTGTCCAGCACATTTACATCTTTTTATAGACAAGTTGACGTCTTGTTCAGCACATTTACATCTTTTTACAGGCAAGTTGACGTCAGCTTGCAATTGATTTTTTTCTATGGTCATTTGCTCCAATGGTTATCTCAAGCGTACCTCAAGGGAAGCATAAAATCTTGGTTATCTATGTTAATTTCTCTCCGATTTTGAATAATATTTCTAGAACCAAGGGCAGGGGAATAATATTCTTGGAATGAGGGACGGATTATTAGACAATACAATATGTCCGGTTATGAAGATTTTGGTTTTAAAGCTTCTCTTGGTGATTTTCACAGTGGAATGTGCAGCTATATTCTGTAACAATCATTCCCAGCTGCAAAGATGCAGAAGACAAGAAAATTCAGACCAATCAGAGCAGACTTTTGAGAGAGGGTTTAAAAGACGGGTGCTTAAACAGAACGACTCAGAGAGTGAATACAGGTGTTCTAGCACAGACAGTATGAGGTAAATAGTTTTGGAACATTACAGCATGTTACCATTACCTAGTGGAAACCTTACATACACGTATGAACCTGAAAATGAACATATTAGGTCCTCCTTAACACGACTTTAGAAGAGTTGGTGTCTCCAGCCAGTTAGCGCACAATACCATGACTGTTTTATCTGCAGGGTCTAACTCAAATTCATCAAATTTAAGCAATTTGACTTTCATTCAAAACACAGCATGAGCACTGTTACTATGCTGACGTCATCGTAAAATGACAAAACTTAATATCTGATGTGCTAATGATCGAGACAAATCAGTCATGAATGCTTTGGCAGAGTGATGGTTCTCCACACACACACGGTGGCAGGAAATGACACAAACAGACAGTATTATAAAGCACACAAAAAAAAAACAACAACTTTATTTACAAAAACAGACCACTGCCCCCATCCCACAAACCCCTAAATTCAGTGACTACTGAGGAATGCTATGTCTGTGCCTGTGGCTGAGGTTGGGAATTTACAGGACTGAGAAGAACAACACCCAGTGCAAACCTTCAGTGTGCTTCCACCCACTTATTTAGTCTGAGTTCAGCCGTTGTCTAATGCCACAGTATGGCAACAATTGTTGAACCGTGTGGCCTGAGGCTTCGACTGGGTTGGACGTTGGCTTCTGCTTGGTTCCCAATTGCAAGTAAGCAATATGCTTGAATGAGCCTGGGGTCAACATGTCACGGACAGACAGGTGGGGCAAAGGGCTACCAAAGATTTCATAATACCATCTTGGACTATGGTATATGCATCATAACAGGTCATTCTAATCAATACACGTTTAAAAAAATCATACCATACAAAAACACATTTGTTTCAATTAGCTGAGATCAAAAATAAGGACACAACTGAAACACACCTCCTTAATTTACAGACACTAAAAGTATTCTCAGCTTTCAACGGCCCTCTGTCCAGGCAGTGTGACACTCGTCTCTACACTGTGTATATAACAAGACTCCTCCGCTTGGCGTGAGATAAAAAGCCTTTAAATAAAATGGCTTCACTTGCCCACAGATGATATGGGGTCAGCATGTATGTACTGTTAGGTCTGCAGATGACAGTGGGACAGTTGCTTGTCACGTAATTGGTTGTGTGTGAATTCTGTTCACACAATTGTGTTTGTGTGTGTGTGAATAACGCTCATGACAGTCGTCTGTTTGAGAATGCTGTTCACACAGCTCTATGTGTGAATGCAGGTAATTGTGGCAACACAGTTAAGCAATGTAAAAGAGCTGAAGTGGCCGAGACTTCCTGCCATGTTTCCATGTAATGGTGTTGCTGAACTGCGTTTGGTTTCTGCTGACATCAGCACAGGGGAGGTGTGAAAAACTTGAGAAAATTCTCAGTAATTGAGTCAGCATATATGTACGTGTGGGGTGATGGCAAAACTGAATGTTCACACACGTAGTTTCAAACACAGGTATTTGCGTCGGAAAGGAAGAGGTGCGTGTGAGTTGCATAATGACGGAACGATGTACGGGAATTACAAGATTGTGACATCTTGTGATGTTGTTCCATGTCCTAAGGCATGCCCACAGTCAACCGTCTAACAATCCCCTACGTGTTTGCTCATTTGTGTCCTTAACAGGAGCATACTGTGGCAGAGCAGGATGTGTGTGTAATGGTCCTAATGAGTGTGTCTCTGTCCACTGCTGCTGCATAAATTTGTATGATTAGAAGGCGTAGCGAGTGCGAATGTCCTCCAGTTTCTTAGAGACCTCAGGGGGCGTTCTGTCCAGCTCTTCAGCCACACTTTTCTGCTTGTGAGGGTCCATACTGTTAAACTGCTCACACAGATCTCCGTCAATCACATTCTGGAGAGAAAAACCAAGACGACAAAAAATGACTCAGGGCAAGTTGGCTTCTGATAGTCTGTGATGCTGAAGCAGACAAACAGATCAGATGATATGAGATCTTTACAGAAGATAGTAAAGGTGCACTGATTTATCGGCCGAACATTGGTATCAGATGTGATTCATCTTGTTGACTACTTTGGGCCTATATAAGATGCCAGCTGCGATGGCAATTTTTTTCTGTTTTGTCAAATCAATTTTGTGCAGCCTAAAAAACAGGACTCAAGACTAACAGCGTCCCAACATCCTGAGGACAGAAAACCTCTTTGGGACAAACAGAGATCTTCCCTGGGCCGTATTTGGGACAAAAGGACGTAGTAAATTCATGACTGACACGAGAGATTGCACCCTTTTTTTCCTGATAATTCTACATTGTGAACAACACATCTGTGTGCTAGGTAACATTAGCTGTTACCAGCCCTCAGCCACAACTAATGGCTAAGGTTGCAATAAGTTACATTATGATGCATTCAATCTCTATTTAGTAAAACTGGAAATTTGGCAAAGGAACATTATAGCATTATTATGATGCGCTCAAATGTAGCTTTGTGGAATTTAGTTTTTGGCAAAATATTTGAATAAATACAGCTGTCTAAAGGAGAAATTTGTTGATGTATTCACAGCAATATAAAAAAGAGAGGGAATTATGATATACATAGTTTTAAAGTCATTCAATCCTTCATTACACTATGTTTGAATGAGCACAATCATATAAATATGAAATAACCATTAAAATTCTTTCACAGTAAAACATTTTTTATAATTAAGATTTTGTTGTTTCCCTTGCACAACAGGGGAAATAGCAAAAAAACAAAAAAAAAAACAAAATAAACACCAAAAACAAAACAAACAAAAAAACAGTATAATGAGCCACTGGCCTGATCATTGTTTTAAACATTTGTATCAGTATTGGTCCAGAATTTCACAATTGGTTCATTCCAACTAAACACACACAGACATATAAAAACAAAACCAACCTTGACTGGGAAGTAGTAGGATCTAAAACTGAGATGGTCTCTGCCACACAGGGGAGGAAACTCAGAGCGCATATGCATCTCTAAATGCTGGAAGAAGTCATGGTCCTGAAGAAAAGAAAGAATAAAAGAAGATTGGATACAAATCGAATGAGACGGAGATAGTGACAGTGTGTATTTTGCAGGCCACGATGATGCATTAGCCTCTTGTGAGACACAGTGTGTGGATGTTTGTGTTATACCTCGTGTGAGGTGAATGGAACCAGTATGCCGATGCCTCCAGACAGTGTGGTGTAGACCATGGACTCGGAACCTCCGGGGATCAGAGTGGTTTTCTGGAGGGACAGCACCGTCTCTCCTACGTGGTAGTTCATTATCACCTCAGCCTGGACAGACAATGGAGGCAGAGAAAGACAGTTGTGTTTTTCTTGTCTGGTAGAATTCATTCTTGGGATCACTTCATCAACAGACGGCAATCATTCTTTTCTGACCCCTCGTGGCTTTTTGCTACCTGATTTGATGTGGAACAAAAGTGTTTTCATTTTGAGTGACACTCCATGTGACCTGAAGTGTATTGTTTAAGCAGTATTGGCCTTCGTGTTGGGTGATCTACTCCACTGTCACATTTTCTATTGTCACCCTGTAAGATTGTCAATATCAGATCCAATCGCTTGGGGAAATAAAAAATGCAGTCTATTCTGTTGTTAATATTAGATATTAGAGGATACAAAATTATTATATTTATGAATGGTTTTTAACCACTGAGAGATGAATGCTAAAATCAACAAAATAACAGCCAGCAGCATCACAGGCATTTAGTTAAAAAATAAAAATAAAATAGATTGTGTCTCAGCACACTCGTCAAGTTTCTCTTACAGTTTACATTCATGCATTCATGTCTGTGAAAACATGGATGCTTCACACACATTTTTCCGACAGCACAGATCATCTATACAATCAGCACAGTTTCAAGGTGGACACCTAAGATTAGTCTCACCAATTCAGTATCTGACCAAATGTCTCCCCTTCTGTTCCTGAGGTATGCAGCAAGCATTGGCCAGAGAAGTGTTTTTAGGCACAACATTATGATGTCACGGTGAAGGTGACCTTTGATCTTTTGGATATAAAATTCCATCACTTCATTATTTTATCCTATTGGACATTTGTGTGTTTTTACCTTTGACGGCCAAATTCTGATCAGTTTATTCCTCAGTCAGAGTGAACGTTTGTGTCAAATTTAACGAAACTCCCTTAAGATGTTCATGAGCCGTCACGTTCACAAGAATGAGATGGATGCAAGGTCACAGTGACGCTGTCCTTTGACCACCAAAACCTGATCAGTTCATTGTTTAGTCCAAGGGGACGTTTGTGCCACATCTGAAGAAATTCCCTCAAGGTGTTCTTGAGATATCACGTACAGCTCATACTTTACACAGACAGCGACTCTGCCCCGTTACTACTTCCACTACCAGCTTTAAGGCGAGACAACTCTGTCCCGCTGCACTCTGCGATCGTACCTTTTATACCGCCTGGGGAGGCAGAACAGCTGCGCAACATTCCCGCTTTGGACAGGCAGTGTAAAAGGGGCTGCTCTCTCCCTTGCAAGCAGCTGAACAGAAATGACATGTTCACTCTTTCTCTCCTCAGCTACATTCAGTACAGGAAACGGCACCACGCTGTCACTTGGTTGGAGTGTGTGCACTTTTATGTGTCAGTGTTGCAAGTGTCTTTATCAGCAGGGGATGCCAATGTGACACTATGATGGCAAATTAAATATTAATTAATTAATATTATTTTACTACTAGTACTAACAATACTAAAAAATAATAATCTAATACATACATGGGAAAATGAGCCACATATTGCTTTGACAATGGCAAAGTCATTGGCTTCTGGCAATCACTATGATCCCCGAAATCAGCTTCTATCAGCAAAAGCCAAATTGGCCCGCACCTCGTTATCCTGTTGTTTTCTGCCACACTAAATCATTGGGGACATAATGGGGATTTTGTGACACTGAACAGAAACACATGCTATGAATGAAATAATCTTGTTTCTCTCAACACGATGTAAATGGTACAATGTGGTTTTTGTCTTGACAGTTTTGGAAAACATCTGCTTTATAATTAAAAAAAGAACAATTAGAGCAACTGTGATTATTAATTTGATGGTGCAGACAGTTGAGAATGATATTTTAATGACCTCTTGACCTCCTGTCAGTGACTCTGATTGACTAACTTGTAACTTACATCTGTCCAGACTAATGGAATTACAAGGAGCTGCGTTAAACCATGAAAAATCTGATCATATGATATCATGTCTGATATGTCACTGAAGGTCCCAAGATCATCCGTCCTGACAGCTGCAAATATACAATAAAGTACATGACTAGTGGACTCTGTGCCAAGGTCACATAGGAGACACACACTGTCATTCTCCTCTTAGAGGAAATTGGTCCGGATGGTCAGATCTAATCCAATAACCATCAAAAAACCACTTTGCCAATAATTAAAGGTAATAATCAGGATGTACCCTGGATACACAGGCAGCATTCAGGAGCAATAAAACCTCAGTATTAGTTTGAGCAAACTGCATACAGGGCATATGTTACGCTGACACCATGGGACCAAGAAAGCACATAAGACAGACACAAATGAGACCGAAATGTGCAGAAGTTTTGATTATTATTGGATTATTATTGATACCAATGTCATTATTGAGTTTGCTTATCGATCCCACTTTATATGATTCCCTTATGGGTTCTTGATCAATTATCTGTGTGGGGGGAAAAAACGTAGGCTCACATGGGTTTTCAATATCAACGCAACAGTTTCTCTGAGTCTGAACACAGTGTGGTTAAAATGAGAGAACATTTGTGCAACATTTGTTTTCATTTAGGTTTTCTTTATCAAAGAGAAAATCGGCTAAGCTTGCCTCCATGGCGCTAAGTTTATTATATGATAGGATATGTACTCTGGGACGATGGCATCGTCCACTGGCCCACCCCTCGTGGGAAGCAGTGGCCCTCGTGTGTACTGAGTGAAAAACACGGCATTCCTGGAAGTTAAGCCCATGTTGCCTAGAAAGATGTTTCAGAGTATTGCTGGTGTTACCACCCTTACTTCAAACGATCGTTTTACAGGCATTACAGCACTCGTCATCTTTTTTCTTCAAATGAAGTCACGCTTTGGTCCGTTTCTCCATGCCATGACTGCCATGACTCAGTGGCATACACACAAGTTTGACGTCATTGTTTTGTTATGTGGTCAGAAAAACATGCCGGCGTTAATTAAAGGAACTGATAAGCTCTGAGGCATATGATTCCAATAGATCGTACAATGTGGACCTGCTTCTTTATTCCTATCCCTACTCCAGAGCCCTGAAATAGGAACACAATCTGTTTTTGATCACTTTGGCCAAAAATTGATTGGATTTAAAAAAAAAAAAAAAACTTACACAAGCCATCATTGATTTCTTCTTTTCCTCAGGGCATCTTTGACACACTCTAACCCATTTCTGACCGTAGAAACTTTCTCAAATGACTAGAAACCTTTTCATTGCATTTCGACCGCATGGATCAGGGTCTAAATTAGGTTTGAGGGACAATCTCTTACCCCCCGCCCCCCCAAAAGTCCCTGATCAGGGTTGGTGGTTTCTGAAAGTACAGGAACCTTTGAGGTGGGGCTTGCAGGGATGACCGTCGCTGATTGGTCCAACACACACACACACACACACACACAGCAACTTCAACTCCAGAACAGCTTCAATCATAAAATAACAAAGTGCTTCAGTACTGATTTAGGACCATTGAGGACAAGGGGAGGACATTTCTCTTTGTTTGATGACATTAGTTAAGTTGTGAGGCATGTGTGCATCCACCAACCAGTCAAGATGTAGTTAGAGTTGATATCCATGTCTGTCCAGACTAGGGTTGTCAAAAGTATCGATACTCTGAAAAGTATCGATACTCAAACGCTGTATTTGGATACAATACTAATTTACAAAAGTATCGATACTAACAGTGCACGCCACCTCAGCGCCTGTCAGGTGCGCGCAGCGGGTCTGACGGACACCCGCTGTGCAGGCAGCGTCTGGCAGGCACAGAGCCCTCGCTGCAACCCGGCTTTTTGTCGTCGCTGTGCATGCATGCACACATTTCTGTTGCTGTAATATGGCCAGCGCGGCTGCAGGAGGATCAGAGCAGCCAGTTTTGGTCAAAAATGATAAAGGAAAAAGAGCTCTTTGGAAATATTTAGTGAAGTGAACACAGCACGCTGCAGACGGCAGGTACAGCCCCTCCCCTCACTAGCAGCTGAGCAGCTGGTGTCGCCTGCATCAAACTAAAATATAACTTCTAACATTAATGTGGGAGCTAAGCAGAAAACTTTATCAGTCATGCCCATCTGTAACATTAATAGACAATGTTATTTTAACAGGACAACACAATTATGTGTGTCTGAAAAGTTATGTTAACTGTAAAGTTACAGATTGAAGCTGAAAAAACGTTTGGTTTCTCCCGTAACCCCTGGTTCTCTGATCACATAGTGAGGTAGAAACAGGAGCATACTGAGCCTAAACTACCAACTCTATTTGATCAGCAACGAAAATATGGTGCCAATTCACCAGAAGCACAGAAAATAAACAGGGCTGTAGATAAATACATTTGTATGGTCAGATCTTGTTTCTGGTTGTTATTTATTTTGGGGGGGATTTTTTGTTGTTATCATTGATGTTACTGTTCTGATCTTTATTTAAAAAATGACATGCCTCTTAATTTTTTGCTGCTGTATCGAAAATGGTATCGAGTATTGAATATTTTCCTGGGTATCGATATCGAGTTTGAAATTTTAGTATCGTGACAACCCTAGTCCAGACTCATATATAGCTGTCAGTAGACAACATTTCAAATATTGGATGCTGCTGCAAAGAAGCTACAAATTCTAAAACGTGGATGATTCACACATATTTTCAACCTGGCAGCACAGATCCATACAATTAGCACAGTGTCAAAATGGAAACCTAAGATTAGTGTCACTAATTCAGTATCTGACCAAATATCGACACTTCTGCCCCAGAAAAGTGTTTTTACAGAACGTTATGATGTCACAGTGAAGTTGACCTCTGAGCTTTTGGATATAAAATGTCATCACATCACTTTTTTATCCTCTTAGACATTTGTGTGAAATGTTGTCACAATAAGCATATGAATTCTTGAGTTACAGCCAAAAATGTGTTTTGTGAAGTCACAATGACCTTTAACCTCCAAATTCTAATCAGTTCACTGTTGAGTCCAAGTGGACGCCTATGCCAAATGTTGAGAAGTTCCCTTAAGGCCTTCTTGAGAAATCGCAATCAGGAGAATGGGACAGACGGACAGACAGAGAACCCAAAAACATTATGTCTCCGCACCATTGCTGTCGCCAGTGCGGAGGGATAAAAGGACGAAGAGAGAAAAAAAGAGAGAGAGGGAGATGGTGGCTTTGAGCTGAGAGCACAGCATGGGTAAGCGAGCTGAGAGCGACAGAGACAGAGCTGCCATGATGTGAGAAAACCAGGGAATGAGAGAAATAAGACATAATCTTTATATATTTCCTCCCAGTGTCTACCTTTCAAAACAAGTAAATAACCATCAAGTACTCAACAGATGATTTACTGTGGAGACAGATGCTTAGATTTATTTTCCTCCTCTGCATTTCATTTAGTGCATCCAACTTGCAGCAAAACTATGCAGCAGTAAATCTCACCACAGTGAGACAAAACCTGAAGTGTATTTTTTTCATGGTTTTTTTTTTAGATTGAAAAGGCGGTCAAAGTGAACTGCAGGCTGTAGAGTGTGTTCAACCCTGCAACCACCAGCAGCCCTTGTCCCATCATGTTGCTTTTTCATGCCTCAGAGGACTCATTTGCCTAATCTTCAGGGGTCTTTAAACTGTGGTGCAAACACAGATAACACTTGGCTGAAGGAAACATTTAGTTTCTTGAGAAGTTGCCTCTGGGACTTAAAGTCCCAGGAGCTTTGGGTCAAAACGTTGCTTCTGTTAATATCAAAGGCATCAGTCAGGGTCAAACCTGTAAGCTCTCAAACACTATTGATAAACTACAAAAAAAAAATAAGATGTGCATCATTTGGACCTTATGTAACGAGACACTTATTTGTACATATAAACTAAATAACTAACATCAGCATTTTGAATCAAAGTTATTCCTGAAAAACAACACTAAGATTCTCTTGCCATGCACGCATCTCTGTGAGGCTGTCATTACACACACAGTCTCACCTCGTCCTGGTCACAAACAGCAGCCTTAAGCCGCTCTCGGGTATGTTGAGAATAAATGAGGCACATCTTTGCTGCTGTGGGAGACTCCAACAGAGTGGAAATGTCACCTTAGGCCAACAAAGACTAAGCAGGAAAACTCAAATGATGTTTTTGTTTCTGAAGTGTTGAGGAGCTGAGGAAAGGAAGTCAGAACAGGGTTGTGCAGGCTTGTGGAAGCAGAGGACTCCCCAGGAGACGGTTAGAAACAACAAGACAAAAATGGCCCTCACACACTACAAGACATTTGGGGTTAAGACAGTCAATCCTTTCATTTTGTTCAACAGACAGCTGTGTCTCCCTGACCTTGATCTTTTCAGATACAATAATCAAATAGAAATGGAATGCATCTAATTTAATGTAAGACAGCATTTAGCTGAGCCATGTATGGATAATTAGGTTCATCCAGCCAGATGCGAACACACAAGGCTTTCTGGATACGGACAAATCCAGGCTTCCACACCCACATCTAAATACAGACATGGTACATTTCCAAACTCAAATGAAATTCTCAATCAATGTGCACGGAGACAGAAATAGCTGACAAACACTGTGTCACAAAGACAACTGGGACCAGCTCACAATGTCTAAATCTGAGGGACTTTCCCAGTCCATCTGCTACCTAAACAGTTTTGACCAGAATTTAAATATGGGATGAGTGAAACTGTGTTTTTTCAAACTGCGCAAGTGTGTGTGTACACACTTGCATCTGTGAGAAGGTTAAGCTTGTGGTTGACGATGTTATGCAGTATGTGTATGTGTATGTGTGTCATGTCTCTGTGTGTTGGCGGTTGGAGGTCAGAAGAGTGGAGGAGGCAGATTAGTGCGCAGGCTGGACATTCAGACCGTGAGCAGCACCCAGCCTGAATCATTCAAACTTGTGCAGCATGGGCTCAACAGAAACCTGATGTTTCTTCCTTGAACAACTCAAATCCTGAAGCGACTGTTCAAACATTAGAACTCACTTTTGCTCTCTACATTTCTTTTACTCTCTGTCTTACATATAAATGCTGAGGAGTGGACTGGTCAGACTCTAAAAAATGCACACATGAAAGGTCAGCTCTGTAATTAAGACACTGGTGTCCTGCTCTCAGGTTTTATTGGCTTTTCCGTTATGATCAAGCACTGAATTGCGTCTGCTTTTCATCTGTATGTTTTGTAATCCCTTACATAACTCTGATGGTAATTTTTCTATTTCAGATTGTGACCATCAGCACCAGCCAGAAAAACAGGCTTGAGCCTGGACCAAAAAGGCAAAGCTGACTTGTTCTGTCTTCATTTGTCTGACATCTTTAGTTACTTTTCAGACTGCAGTTTTGTCAGTGTTGTCAGAAGATATTTAAGACATTGTGATGATACAACTTACAGACTTTCTGTCCTTAATTTAAGTTTTGAAACAAGGACTTTTACTTATAATGGAGTATTTTTACAGTGTGGTGTTATTAGTACCTTTACCGCAGTAAAGGATTTAAATAGTTCCTCCACCTACCTCTGGCAGCTCATTGTGCTGGCATTACTGTCACTCTCTCCTCACTCTGTTATATGTGAAGCTCCACTTCTCAGTACATTTTCTTTTAACTCTACTTCATCTGTGCTGATCTACTTCAGCAATGTGCCACCACATACTTGCAGACTCTTTGCTGCAATAGCAAATTCTTCTCTGTGGTACCTGACCAGTACTACTGGTAATTGAGCCGAGTAGCGAGCTAGAAAAAGGAAGCTGAACTAGAGTGATAGTAGACAGCAAGGGTCAATCACAGAGCTGCGATACAATTATTGACGGTCATACACTGCATTTTGCCAGAGCCGATGCAAAACAAAATGTGGTCAGTCAAGGGCTGACACCATTTAGCTCATTCAACCTGTGACTTTGTCCCTGCAGACACACACCCAAAATTACAAAAAAAAAAAAGGAAATACAAACAAAATGCAAAAAAAGAAATGTTAACAAATGTAACAGTGACACGTTAGTAAAATTTCAGAAGTCAAAGGTTTGGAAAATAATGGCTTTACCTTCTGTGATGCCCCATTAAGGAGGCCTCTGTCCCATAAAGCTTTGTTCCCTGTGGGGTCTTCATCCACATCATCGCTGGTGTTGGGGGGTAGACGCACCTGAAAAAATTAAATAGAGAATGAAGACATGTTTTTATTTAGCTTGTCAGTCCTACTGGGTTCCATGGGTTTTTTGGGGTCCGATCACTGCTGATGTTTTTGAGCCTAATGAGAGGAAACTGTAGCTGCTCAGGAAGGGACATGGAGGGGAAAAAATTGTACAATTGTGCCAAATCTAATACACCATATACTTTATAATTCATATTGTATTCCAGCGTATTCCTTCTCTGCTATATGACAGTCCAATCACAGATTCAGACAGCCAACACTCCCCAACCCCAAACTTACAATGCTGATGTTGCCAAACTTGTCAGCGGAGGCCATGGTGTCATAGTCGAGCAGACAGGCTGTGGTTACCCAGCGAGGATATGTGTCATCAGCAAAGATGATGAGCTGGTTCTCATTGCGTCGGTAGCGCACCCAGAACAGGCTCTCCTGCACGTCAGAGACGATCACACGCTGGCCTATCGTATGGATGCCAGTCACCAAGTTGGGAACATGCTAAACAGAAGAGACATAAAATACACTCAATAAAGTACACTCAAAAGACATGACATGTATATTATGTGGAAGAATATCTCCTTTTTTTGCACAAGGGAAACATGATGAGATGAAGCCCTGTTCTGTGAGCAGCTTGATGTGCAGCACTGTTCATTGTTCCCGCTGGTTATTCGTTAAAACTGATTCAGTTACAGACTTTTTTGGAGTACAAAATAAATAAGGGAGGGACCAAACAGGTAGGAAAGAAATATTACAAGCACAATGATCGCCTGGCGTACAGCGCCCAACAATCCGAGTACACATAGGTCCAACTGCAGCACATTCAGTTGTGTGTATGTGGTCTTCATTCAAATGCATCACTGTGCCTTTGTACTCTGTGCAGCTTCATTACAAACAAAAACTGTTCTGTGTGTTTGTGTCTCACAACCTCACAAACATGGCAAATGCATTTCGTGCCTCATAAAAGATTTGCAAAGCTTGTTTTTATTTCAGATCGGCTATTTAACAGGCTAAAAACTGTGTATACACACGAGACAAGATGCAAATGACACAGGAACCCACTGTGCACTCATTCAAAACTGATCAAAACATTACTCCTCAGTGCCACCAGTGCTCAGAAACTCTGATGGGTATCTTTCGGAAAGTGACATAAATACTAAAATTAACAGTCTCTGCAAACTCAAGCACATGAATGTGACCACGTTGACCCCAGTCAGTTATCACACTGATACTTAGAGAAGTCCTCTGCCTGAAGGTTGTTTATTCTTTGTAGAACAGCACTGTGACAGACAGATGATAACTTCTGTCCTTACAAGCCTGTGCACCTTTGCTGTGATTCATTTTAAACTGCTTCAGAATTACATTTGATCTACAAAGGAAGAAACGGAAGAGCAGGAGACTCATAATTGAATCAAACAATTAAACTCATTTAAACCAGTGCTGTCATGCACTGTTGGATAAAAATAACATCTTTGAGGGAAAAGCCAGCGTCCCAGGTTTATCTCTACTGACATTTACCAACAAATTATTTGAGGTTACCCACAGACGGGTGAGTCAATGGCTTATTTAGTTTCTAAAACGGTAAAGATAATACAGCTTCAGTTCTATTATTCTGGACAAACCTCTACTCAAGCTTCATTTATCACATTAAGTCATGAGGAGAAGTTGGATTTAAACCATACTGACTTTTGAACTGCTTTGCCTAGTACACAGTGTGACTGTTGGACATACTCACATCAACAGCTCAAAGAAAGGTTGAGTGTTTGGGTCCTTGCTTTACCTTGTTTTCACACTTGCGAAGCAGCTTCTTCTTGCCCAAGTCGTAGATTCTTAGAAGTTTCCCAACTCCCACCAGGACTCGTCCCTGGAACGGAGCAATGGCCAAAGGCACGTCCTCGACTGGGGTCTGCCAATCAAAACACAATGAATTATTAAAATGCAGCTCATTACATTCTTTTATGCAACGCTCAGGAGAAGTTAGGTTGAGATGCAGCATGTTTGTTTGAGCAGAAACAGCTCATATTATTTGAGAGATAGAAAACCTCCTTTTTGAAGATGTACCCACTGTCTAATGAAAAACAGTGTGACCCAACTCACTCTTTCGATTATAACTGTGATTGAAGGTGTGAAGATAAAGAGCAGGGCTGTACCTAATAATATGAAACTTCATTTGTAACATTGGTATTTGAATTCTAACTCAACATTCGAATGCTGAGCTGCTTTTTTGGTTTTGCACAAATAATCATTCTGTTTAAACCTTGTATTTCTGCACAGTTGCAGTTAAGATTAGGCCATGCTAATATTACTAGCATTATACTAATTGTAAAATTACATTAAAGTGGTGGCTGCATAGGTTTGTTTTTGACTCATGTGATCCAAACATTTCCAAAAAACTTCAGTGTTGCAAAGTCAAAAAGGCAGATTCAGCTGAAACTAGAATTACTGCCTCATGGTTGTATGCTTCCACCAACAGGTCAAGTTGCAGTTTACATCCCTGTCTGTCCAGACTCATATGTAGTCATGACAACAGACAATGCTTCATATATCGAAGTTACTGCAAAAAAAAAAAGGCTACAAATATTAGAGCGTGGGTGCTTCACAGAAATCTTCAACCGCGCAGCATAGAAGATCTATACAATCAGCTCAGTCTCATTTGTGTCACCAATTCCTTATCTGACCAAATGTCTCTACTTCTGTTCCTAAATTATGACACTGAGTAATGGCAAGAAAAGTGTTTTCACGCAACTTTATGATGTCACAGTGACGTTGATCTTTGATCTTTTGATTTAAAAAAGCATCAATTCATCCTTGTATCCTGCTAGATATTCGTGTGAATTTTTTGTCATAACTGGCATATGAATACTTGAGTTATGACCAAAAATTGTGTTTTGTGAGGTCACAGTGACCTTTAAGTTCCTGATGTTAACGAAAATGGGATGAACAGATGGTTGTATGGAAAACCCGAAGACATAATGCTTCCGGCCGCAGCTGAATAATCTTCTATCTGTGTGTGTATTTGCATGTGTCATCTGCACCAGTAAAAAAGAAAGTGTGTGTTTCGACCAGATAGACCCATCTAAAATATCTGATCTGGTTAAGTGGTTGGGAAATTCCTCCAATGTGAACACCACTGTGTAATACAACACTCCTGACTCATTTCCCTTCTTAATCCACATCAGGTAACAAATGCATGTGGGCTGATTCACCCTGATGGCCTCCACCCTGCTTGAGTTTTTGGGGAATTGCCCGGAGAGAAGTGCACGGCGCCAGAGGCATTAACATCTGTCTTTAAAATTCTAATCATTGCTGTCCCACCTGTTGCACTCTGATGACCCTTCTCTCTCGTCCATACCTCGGACCTCTCAAGACGCAACCTGCTAACTTGCATTTCAATAATAGAGCACAGTTTTGCGCTTTGCCTCAACCTAAATGGTCATGTGATATTATTCCTCTTCCCCCAAGGTCGAATGAGTATCATGTCAGTCACACTGGCTGCATTCCATATTCACTTCCTGTGCATTTTGTTTTTTTACTTAGGCTTTAATCACAAAATTGTCACTTTAACTTTGAAACCAGACTGAGCCAAAATCACCCAGCTGCAGATCTACATGTTCTTGGTCTGTTGCTTAAGTACAGCATGCACCACCTATTTGCAAGGAAACTTAATAGACGTTGTAGTCTAGACCTACACACTGCGTAAACGTTCTGATGTCACCACCTACAGGCAAAGACAGGGCAGCAGCGGTGCCATCTGCAGTAAATAAATGTTGCAGTTTTCCCTTTCTGTTGTCTGCTGTATGTGAATGGATGACTTTGACAGTTGCAGTCCAGTTCCTTGAACTGCTTTGCATGTATAAACAAGTATCCAAGACAAAAAAAAAAGAATTGGCTTTCCTGTAGCAATATAAACATAATTTCAATTGAATTCAGTGAAGTGTCAAACCCACCTTGTGCACAAACTCCAGTTTCTCCCCTCCGCTGATGAGCCGATAGGTGTAGATAAAGCCACCGCCCACTGATCTGGGGTTGAGAATCATGTCTCTGGCAACGCCCACCAGAACATACCAATCATCTCCTGTGTTGGGGAAACGACACACTGCAACGCTGAAATGTATCAAACACAGGGAGAGGGAAAGGTGTCAGATATGGGCTCTCGTGCTGTTTTTTGACAAAGAATTAAACAAGATGGAAAATTAAAATCAAATAATACACAACATCCAACACAGAAATAAAACTACAGACATTGACAGATTTCTATGTAAGTAACCTGTTCATTAACCAAGCTAACACCACGGAGACTGCAATACTTCATGCAAAGCTCTGACGAAATATCAAAACAAATTCTGTTTGTCAGATTTTTGAGTTTGCTGAGAAATACTTGCTGGTGACTATAAATGTATTAATCTATGCTACAGAAAAGATTCATCTGTGCCTTTAAAACACAGACCCGTCATGCTTCCTATAGACTCCACATGCATTTAGCTAATAAGATAATAACATGCACATTTATGTTGCTGAAAGGTGACTACTTACTATTTACAATTGTTCTGAATCTAAAATATTCTATATCTAACAATATTATGTAGAATAAAACTTGACTGAACTTGTCAGCAATGTTTAAATCAATGTGCTACAAAGAAGACAGACTTTTAGGTTCAAGTATTTCAATTAAATTAAATTGATAAAATGTAGAAAAAATGTAAAAATAAATACATAAATAAATACTATATAACTATTATGAGTGAAACCAAAAAGCTGCTATTAATTAATTCACTATTACTGTTGCACCTATGCTAACTGTGCTTGCTGTCAGTGCAGAGAAGCAGTTCCTGCGGAAAAGAAAGATGATAATGCAACACAGCAAAGGGATGCTCCGATTTATCGGTCAAACATCAGTATTGGCCGATATTCCCATTGTTGACTGCCATCAGCCTTTCGGCAAATAAGATGACATCCACCGACGGCAGTGGCCGATGCTTTTCTGTTGTGTCACATCAGTTTGTGCAGCCTAAAAAGCAGGGCTCAAGACTAACGTCTCATTGTTGAGGGCACAATATAAACTGTCTTTGGGATAAACACAGATCTTCTTTAGGACACCTTTGGGATAAAAGGGTGCAGTAAAGTCAAAATCGACTCACTAGGGGATGCACCCAATTTCTTAGTTTTTCAAATTGTTATGAACATTTACTTTGTCTCAGATTTTGGTAGATGCTTAATAAGATACCCATCTTTGATATCATACATGCATTTTTACTATTTTAAGCCAAGCTTTCAATGACAGTCAATTATAGTTTAGAGAAAGAAAGAAAATCAGGACTGGCCAAAATCGAAAGGTCAGACTTGTAAAAAAATCGGAATAAGCCAAAAAATTGCAATCATTGATTCTCTGGCACTTAACAGCCTCTCTTTCTTAAAACTAGGGACAAAACCAACTCTCTCTCCTCACCCGTCAGTCATCAGATTATGAAAGACATTAAATTTTAAAGCACATCTGTTCCGTTTTTGCAGCCCAAAAGATTTCTTTATGGCTGCTGGTCAAATTGAGATAATAAGGAAACAATTTATGAGATGCTGGCAGTTTTTGAGACTCTCCATCAATGTGAAAGGCATAATAATCGGGAAACAGCCCAAGGTCAGACTCTGGACGTCATCACCACTGCATGCACACACCACTTAGAACTTCAGGCTGTGACACAATATCATGCAAAACCTTTTCTTCAGCATTAAGTGCTTATGTTTCACACTGTGAACAGTCCAGAGTTTCACTTTTTATTTTACAACAGGATCTCTACCCAGCCTCCCACTCACTTCAGTTCCCAATCGTTCTGTTTAGGGAATCATTTCATGACACTTACAGCTTCACTACAACTATCTGTAAACAAACAACCCACTTATTAAACAGAAGGCTGAACTCTGGCTCAGTTGTATCTTGCCATTCCAAAAACTTGCTTCTTTTGTCTTTTGTTCATCTCAAGTGTTCTCCTTCAGATATCTCAGAATTTACATTTATTGATATTACTACCTGGGATGCACAATATATACTGGGCCGATAAATGATGAAATTATAGCCAATAAATGAAGCCAAATTGCTTTTATTGACTTAATAAGGGCAGCTTCTACACATCCTGATAAAGTAAGTGGTGCTGGACACCTTTGAAGTTGGTTTGCCGGATGCAAATAAACACAGAGAGGAAGAACAAGCGCAGCACGCTGACTAGAGAGCCAAACATGTCACCGTTTTTCACAGTTTCAGACCAAGACGATGCGATGCACTGAGAAGCTGAGCCCCACCAGTCCAACTCTGCGTCAGATTAGCAAACTTTCTGCTGCGGATAAACAGATTAGATGCAGCACTGAAAGACTGTCTCTGGAGCATTAGCATGAGCTAACACAGCAGAGGCGGCTCACATCCAACACTGAGCCTTTAATTAACTCTCTCTCTAACAGTGCTCCTAATGAACCATCCAGCTCCACAAATAGAAAGTCGGAATGTGGCAGCAGATGTTTTAAAAGTCAATATAAAATTTCTATCTTTGATTCACATGATGAAATGCCCCAAAATGATCACTTTAACTGTGCTGCCCTTACCTGATCGTTTGAACAGCGCATGATTATTACACAATCTTGAATCGACAGATGGAGTTGGGTTGCAGAACTAAGCGGTCATGTGTGAGGGGTGGCAGAGTGGATATGATATTGCATGTCGCAGTGCCAATTCCGGAGCAGGACTTAAAAATTAGACACGTTCAGGACTCTGCGTTTGACTACACAGCAGCCCCATCACTATGACAACAAATAATTATGCATGTCTATAGGCTCTGAGTGTGTATGTATGTGTATTTCAGACCAATGTGTGTATAAGTTAAAAATAACAGAGTGAAAAAAAATGGTTTCCCAAAAGGGATTAATAAAATGGTAGTTCTTGTTGAGCAAGCATCTTGGTAAATCTACTCTGGGTTCCTTCCTCGACCGAAACTCTACACTATGGCACTAAGTCTTGTTTTTGGTTATATTTACATAAGTTCTTTTTTTGCTGTCAGTCTGTCTGTTCATCCATTTCTCATCTCAATACAATTTTATATTTTTCCATTTGTATGAAGAAATCAAATTAAACCTGCTCACCTGAATGCAGCTTCGTTCTGTTCTAGCTGCACCTGGTCCAGTGTTGTACCCTGTATGGGGTTGACAAGACGCACCAGTGAGGCCCACTGTCCTGCTCCAGCTTTAGGTGCGCCAAAAATGGCTTCTGGGAGATTCTCATTGAGGAAAGCAGCAGCCATTTCAGCAGCCAGTTCTCTTTCATCCTCACCAGCAGCCTCCACCATCTCCTGTAAAGGCAACACAGAACAAAGCAGGTCAGCTGAAGGGATACCACAGGATCTTTTCCCCCCATTACTAGGTGACTGACACATTCAATGGGACACACTGAATCAAAGTCCACTGCCTTAGTTCCTTCATAACCTTAGAAGTAATTAACATTGTCAGTTTGTCTGTGTTTAATGTAAATACCCGTCCTTTCACCTGATTCCACCTCATGCAGGCTGCAGTGATATTTTTTGGTGTCCTCTGATTGGTGGACTCTTGCCTATTGACATGTATACTACAGCTGAAACAGTTGGTCATTCAACCTTAAATTAGTCAGCAACTATTTTGACGATGGGTCCAGTCCTTTATCAAGCGAAAATGATGAATTCTCCTCTATTCTCAGTGTATCATTTTAAATTAAATTTAAATAAAAAATGTTTTTGCAATCAATTGAGCGATCTGAAGATGAAACTGTGATGAGCATTTTCCCGCTGAAATAATTAGCAGATGAACAGATAATGAAAATAATTGTTAATTGAAGTCTTGATGTATCCATGTGTGTTGTGATATTGATGAAATTAAAGGGTGCTGCTTCCCACAAGGTCATGTCTGGCTTGTTTTTTGCCTCGTGTGGCGTACCTTCTTAACTTTGATCATGTATATGCAGAGTGAAATAAATATGTGTAAAAATAAATAAAAAATGGAGAGAGGAGATGTGTTTTGATATGAATAATGGTAAAACAAACGCACATTTCTTTGTCCATTTTTCTTTTACAATAACCTGTTCTTTGGTTTCGAACAAGACATTTTTTTCTACTGAGAGATGATGGCTTTTCCTGCAGCCTGGGCCACTGCACTGACCATGACTCACACTGAAACTATGACTGGAACCAAAAAGAATCAACAAAGCAGTCTCATAATACTGAAATTTTTGGGTCCATTTACAAATAAAATGGCTGAACATCCCAAACAAATCTAAACACATAGGCTCAGTGTCTCTTCTCTGCTCCAGTAAACTGGCCCTTAGCCACAGCTAGCTGCTTACGCATAAAGGAAACACTGAGCTCCTATCAGGCCTTGGCTTACAATACTTGAGATGCCAAAAGGAGGACTTGATGCTCAGCCTGGGTGGTCTCTGCATTGTAAAGCAGGGTTTCCCCCAGAAAAGCTGTTGGGCCAGGTGGCCAGTGTCTTTCTGACAGGGGCCAACAACAGACTTTCTTTATGATTTCTAAGTTACCAATGCAGCTAAGTTAAATTAAAATAAGTTTTTTTCTGTGTAAAAAGCACCATTTGGTCTAATATGCATAAGGAATGTAATGCAGCTTTGGTACTTTGGTGTGTATTTATGGGTGACTGAAATAGGGGGGCAAAAGATTTTGCATAGGGCCCTCACAGAGCTAAAAACGGCCCTGCTAGCTGGTGTGTTTACTGGAAGAGATGCAGCTGTTGTAGGGAGAGGAGCAGTGTGTTGCCAAGGCCTAAATGCAATGAGGAGATTTCATTGCAACCTCATGTCCCACAGAGGATGAGAGGGAGTAAGTAAGTGGTTAACATTCGTAACATGATTTGAGCTGTTGCAGAGATGTGACTCCTCATAGTTCATGTAACGTTATCATCAGCTCAATCACTGAAAATGCAAATGTCAGCTGCTGTCTCGTTAGCTAGCATTGTCTGTCACAGCTGCAACTGTCATGAGGTCAGAGCCTGGCGGCCCTGTGCTGTGTGTTAGTCTGTGTGCGCTTGTGCTTATGTCTGCAGTCAGCTTTATTTTCAACACTATTCATTGTAATATTAACAGTGTGTTTTTCTTCATTCTCTAGGCTCCTGTAGTTAGCAAAATCTTGAATTTATTTAATTATTTTTTTCATTTTAAAAGAATTCCCCAATGCTTAAGCCGGGCGGGGGGTCAGGCTTGCAATACACTGGTGGACACCCTGCTAAAAGCTCTGGATCATCACATCTATCTATGTCAGACCCCTGCAAGAGATACTCAGTCATTTGTCATTGTGCCTTGCTGTAGTCTGTCTCTGTTAAAGGAGTGTTTTTGGGCACAAGGTCTGTAGTCTGACATAGACAGGACCAAACATGATGCACAAGAAACCTGAAGGATGGTGATAGTGGATGACTCTTCAAGGGGACACAAGAAAAGTAGAGCGAAGTGTCTGTTACAGTGTCTTTCTTTTTAGGCCTTAACTTGGAAAAATAATTACAGATCTATAACCAATAGACCAACTCTCTGCTCAAATAACTGTTACTGTCAGGGGACCAGGAGCAGAGTTTAGTTTGCTGTTAAGGTCATAACACCATCATTTTACTGACACTGTAATTCATACCTCAGCCATTTGTTGCTTTCTCTGAGCTTTGGTTGCCTCGGTGTAGGCATTGTGGTCAGTCTCGATCAAAATCAGGTTGTTGGTCTCAGGGTGGATGACAAATTTCCTGGGAGTGTACTGCAGAGGAAAGGCCACCTGGTTGAAGACAGCTCCTAATTTCTCCAAAGCCAAGATTCTGACAGACAGATGATAAGAGAAAAGAAGGGAAAAAGGGAGAGAAGGTTACAAATCATTTCACTCACAGGTCAACCTCAGATTGATGTATATATATATATATATATATATATATATATAAATATAGTTCTTTTTATTCAATCTGTGATACAGAGCAAAGGCAGAATGGTTCAACCTCTAAGACAGCTTTACTGCCATGATCACCGATACAACTAGGGCTGGGTGATATGGAGAAAATCAAATATCACTATGTTTTTTGTGAAATTCCTTGATTTTTTATAGTGCAACAATATTGTAGAGTTGACTATTGGTGCTTTTACAAAATTAGTGTTTGGATTAATAATCATCAGTATAATTGCTAAGTGGGTAAAGCAAGTAATTAAACAGCTTGCACAGTCTGGGAAGTTCAGAAAATTACACTTAAGATATTAAAATATTCTAAATCTAACACAATATCCAGTCTCATATCATGATATAGATATAACATCAATATATTGCCCAACTCTATGTGCAACTATTGTAATAGTTACATTTTTCACTATAATTTCACCAGGATTTTAGCGCTCTATCACAAAAACTGAAAGCAATAGCTCGTCTTCAACCTGTTTCTTTTGTCTTCACTACTAGCAATTTCAACCAATAATAATTATTGAGAGCAAGCTCTCTTTTACAAGGACGCCATGATTACAGTACACAGAAAACAATAAAAGCACAATGAAGTTACAGTATACATCAACAAGTTCCCAACAATAGAAGAATCCAAAGAAGACAAAGACATCAGCATAGGAAAGAACATCAATTCACAGAAAACACATGCATTCACACTGCTGTCAGTCACAAGGACTTTGAATTGATCAAAAGGGAAAATCTTAAGAAAGAAACTTGAGAAATTTATTGTTTGTTTTTTTTTTTTAAACACCAGTTGACTCGATAAAAAAAGGTCATAGACTCCTTTCCCATTGCTAGTAAACCAGACCTTTTTGACTTGTCATGTTTGATGTCATGTACAGGCCCAAACACATGAAGGTAAACAGTAGAAAGCAGCATGGAGCCCTTTGTGGTTTGCTTCCTTTTATATATCTCTATATATCTCAGTCTCTCTTTCGGTGCAGACTAATTTGGATTGATGTTTGAGCACTGCTTAGATGGAGACGGATGGTATTTTCTGGTGGCATGTTATTGCATTTCACTGGTAAAGGGGCTAATATTAGCGTTTGCCCAGGTTTTTTTTTTTTCCAATCAATGCTGATCAATGCAGATGCATTTGACCAGTGTGTGAATGACGATAGTAACATTTACCATTACATTAAATAGCCAGATGTTGTGACGGGTGTCAGCAGGTTTTTTTATGTGCAGTGGAAAGGGGGCTTCAGACTGCCAAAGGTTTATGCAAACATGTGTAGCTGTTGCAGTGTGTATCCTTACCTCAGTGTGTTGGTGGAAATGGCCACGATACCTTCAGGGCACTGCTCGGAGGCAAAGCCAGAGGCATACTCCAGGGTCTCATATGACAGAGGGGTCAGATGGAAGCGAGACTGGTACGAGTAGCTGAGCCAGGAGCGACTGGACATTGCCAGCACCTGTCACAGAGAAGAGGTGCAGCCAATTCAGATTCATCACATGATTGTCCGACATTCAACATGACAAAAACTCATCAACATTTTGGCTAATCAGCAGCAAAAAGAGTTTCAATTTCATACTTGTTTGAGCGCAAACTGATGTATCATTTTGTAATTAGGTTGTAGTTATATCAGCCTTTTTTGTGTGTATTGATTATATGTAAATGTTTAAGTCACATACAGCTTCCTGTCCCTGCATCCTGACTCTGAAGAGTTTGACAGGTCGTGAACCCAGGTAGCGTGTTCTGGTATCTGACAGGTCACCAGTCACTGGGTCCAGCACAGTCCTCAGCAGCACACCGTTCTGAGGAAGGGGATCAAACACAAACACACAATTTACAATCTGTATCCTAACATATTCATATTGTCACATAAGCCCTCACTAATAATAAATGAACAATTGAAAAATAAATGTCAATAAACAATATTTTCTATGTCAATTAACATAAGTGCATGGTATTCCTCCAGACCTCTGCTCTGGATTGTGAGTAACTGTTTGCTTGAACTTCTGATTAGATATCATGGGCTTCTGCAAATATTCTTAGAACAATAACTGGGGATTCAGAATATTAACTTATTGAAAAGTGCAAAATCCAGCCATAATATTCTTGCTGGATGACCTTCATGACAGAGAGTTTTATTCAGAGTTTTCCTCTTGGATCACTAAGTACAAGATCCATCTGAGCCTATGCTAATGTAGATATGACCACCTTATGTTGTAAAGCTCCCTGAGGCAAACTGTGATTTGTAATATTGGGCACTGTAAATAAAATGCATTGAATTAAAGGACTGTCTTATCTGTGCCTCTTCTGTCTGCGAATTAAAAACAACATTTACCTGAAGCCCTATGTTGAGGTAGAGAAAGCCGATGGTTCCCTTTTCTCCAAGTTCATCCTGTTTCTCGACGCCTCCCATCTCAACAATACAGAGACTCTCTGGCTGGGCGGGCAGAGCCTGCATACTCAGCGGCTGCAGGCAGTCCTGAACACCACAGAGACGCAAAGGGTTAAACTCTTTCAACACACAAAGGGTGCCAACATTCAGTGTTAACACATAAATATGTAGAAGGGATGTACTGGGTGACAAAATTCATAATAATTTGGTTTGATACGACAGTGCTGTCATGGTCCAGTACGTTTTTGATACAGCACAAATACAAATGCAAGAGAAACTTCCTTGATTCTCAAAATATTTCATTTTTTAAAACTAACATCGTAAAATATGACCTTTTTAACTTTAAAAAAAAAAAAAAAGGGTAGAGCTATATCTGAATGACATTTTCTTGGGTGTCTCTTTAGCAGCTTATAATACAAAAACAGCTCCTTGTAAAATACAAAATGTAATAGTATAGTTATAAATTCATACATACAAAAGAAACAATTCTGTTTCTGAATGAAAGAAAAATGTACTTGTTTTTTTAAATTTTTAAATGTATACACACCACACACTGCGTTCACACTCAGAGGAAAGACACTAAAAATATCACAAATTGATAGTACCCAATAAGGGAACTGAAATAATCTGGCCGATAGGCAGAATTGATAAAGGCCTTGGTATCAAGGAAATCTTATTAATTATGTTATTGGCGGCGTGCATGGGCGCAGCTGCTTTTGGCTCTCTATGCACCAAGCGGAGTTGCATCTCCAATTTCGTTGTTTGCTCTGCCACAATGACAATAAAGTCTTCTATTCTATTCTAACTTATCGAGGCAAGCAAAAATGATCGAAGTCACGTGCACATATATACACGTAGGATACAATATTGCCAGTTTTGTTTACATGCACATTTGTTTACATAACAATGTCACCAACATTTTGGCCAACACGATCCCAGAATAAACAGCAGGGATTTCCCAACCATTATAAGACTTGTAAACAGTGCCTAAGTGTGTTTTTGCTGCTTGTATTACTATGCTTATACATTATCATTGTATCAGTGCAATATATATATTGTCCAACAGAAGAAGTTATCATGACAGCCCTAAGCATGCACCACATTCTTACTGAAATATTAAGCTGCACCTCACAAGTCATACTTGTTTTAATACTTAAAAGTGTACCATATATTTTGAAAATAAGTCTATTTTATCATTCAATTAATTCTGTAATTTTACACTTGAATGGACAAATAAAAACCTTTTCTTCTTCTGAATATTCATCAGTCTTAGCCCCCAAAAACTCTCACTAACACAGAGTGCTACTTAACTAAGAAAGGTAAATGGGTAATACTGAGCACGGAGTATTAGCAACATGTGTGGCTGCTCAGCTCTTTCAGCCTTGTGTGTTAGAAGTTAAGGTAATAGTTTAATCATTTCTTGGGTTGAAAGGTCAGACTGGTCAACTATTATTATTATTCTGTCTGTGTCTGACCCTGAAGCAAGTCTCTCTAATGAACCTAAAAGCAATCACTTAAAGGGCAAAGGCTGCTTCACTGGTCACCATTAGGAGCAGGGAGAGTCCCTGAGAGTGCCCGTTGAGCCAAGCGTTTCCCCGGAGCATGGTGTCACTGTTATTTTAACCAGCATGGATATCACTTGCTACTGACCTGGGAAGAAACCAACCAAGCAGTTTGGGCTGTGGGGGATTCACACTGAAGAAGACTTTCTGTCGAAACATCTGTGTTTCTGGTACTGCCACCCAAGTTGGTTTATTAAATTTACCAAAAGGACATTTGCGAGTGCTGGCATTTTTCCCTTTTTCGCTGTTTTTGGCCGTGCACCTTTCGATGGGATTTATTTTGAGAATGCTTGCTTCTTTCCTACGTAATTTTGAACACATTATTTCAAACAAGAGGCTGGTGTGTTATAACACCTGGGAAAGCTGTGGTTCAGGAGGTAGAGCAGGGCGTCAACTAATCAGAAGATCAGCGGGTTGGTCCCCGGCTCTAACCCTAACCCTCCCCGGATGTCAAAATATCTTTAATCAAGATACTAAACCCCCAACTGCTCCCGATGGCTGTTCCATCTGTGTGTGAGTGTGCAGGTGGCACGTTGTATGGTAGCCTCAGCCACCAGTGTATGAATGTGTGTGTCAATGAGTGAATGTGAATCGTAGAGTAAAAATCCCTTTGAGTGGTCGGATGACTTATAAAAGGCGCAGTCTATTTATCATTTCCATTATCACTTATTCTAATGCAGATCAAAAATGATTTACTACTTCACTCAACTGACAACAATTGATTTTTTTACACCTTAGACTGGATTAGCATCACAGAACATTTCATTTTAATGTGTCAGGGTGTGTTTTTGTTCATACCGAAGGGTCCAGGGAAATGATTCGGACAGTGTTGTCAACAAGTCCCACGGCCAGGAATCGCGAACGTTGTTCACCAGGTGGAACATTGGCCAAGCTCATACAAACCACATCTGCAGACATCTCCTTCCGCTCGGTGTACTCATTCAGCTGGCCCGACTGGAGAGAGGAAAAAGAAGGAGACAAAGAGAGAAAACAGTATTACTACACAGATTGTCAGTCATTTCAGTTCTTTCCCGTGTTTAATATGGTACCAGTGACTGACTTAGTTTTAGTTTTCAATGTCTGTTTCAGTCACATTTGAGTAAATACAAAGTAGGTGCAGCTCATGATGTTTGATTTTTACAGAGAATGTCAGAGTATGGTTATAGTAGCAAGTTTTGAGTGAGTCACTACATGTGACAATGACAGTGTCAGTAACATTCTGTTAACTGGTGTCAAATAAATGAAATGCATTAGCATTTTGTAAAAAATGTTGAGCTAAAAAATGAAAATGAACTGATCTTTGGTTTGAGGCCTGCCGTGATAGGTGTGCCCTTTAAATCCTTCTGACATTCCGCTGAAATCTGTGACTTTTTAAATATGGGGTTAAAGTAGCACGAGATATGAAATGCTGGGAAAAAAACATTTATTTTCTTACCGGGTCCATCTCAAAGTAGACCAGCTCTCCTCCAGTGAGTGCGATAACGACCTGTCGCTGGTTCACAGCACAGCGGACAATGGTCTTTTTACCGGGAGTCTTCCACTCATTCACACGCTTGTCTGCTCGGATGTGGCGAATACCGTCTGGGTACACCTGTATGGATAACAGGGAGGGAACGAGAAGAGGAAATAAGATGGAAAGAAAGTAAGTGGTGGGTTGACTCCATTGTTGAAATCACGTCCGTATTTACCATTGTTCAGTATCACAACAGGTACAAATGAGGATGATTACACACACCTGCACCAGGGCGTCTTCACCGAGCAGGGAGCAGGAGAGAGTGGGTGTTGTTCCCAGAAATCCAGAGTCTGTCACTTCCTCTACAGTCTCACCGATGGACAGAACCAGAGTAGCATTCACGAAAGACACTATGATGTAGGCATCGAACTCATCTGATGGAAAAAGGAAATAAAGACAAAGAGGTAATGATTAAAAAAAAATCATGCTGATGGAGCTGTGCTGAGGCTAAATATGATGAATAAATGCCAGGAAAGATCTGGAAACTGCAAAGACACAAACACATGAGAAAAAAACAGTCACACATCTGAGTGATCTGAGAGGTAATTAGCACTGGCCATTCAAAGAATACCACATTCATAAAGACTTGTAATACACACTGATGATCAATGCAAAATGAAACATGAATAAATATCATTAACTTTCCCGTGTCCAAAGAATGGATATTCCATCGTATCGTAAAGAAGCTTGTGATTTACACCCCTAGTAACATTTGTGTTCTAAAAATGCATTCAAAATGTTTCCCACAGGCAGATGAGGTCTTACACATCTGCTTAACACCTTGCACTTACTGTATTCTCCTATTTATAAAGGTGATTGCTCTGTAGCTAATGGTTGGTGCTCATTTTGTGCAGGTAAAATGCTCCTTCAGTAGGGCTTTGGAACGTTCACACAGCCAATAGTCAAGTTGGAAAAAAGGTGTCTGTAATAATTATTACCGTCCACATGTCTGCGTACTGTCCACACAGCGTTGGGGTTACCGGGCAGCTCAGACACAGCCATCTCTGATACCTGATAGAGAAAGATAAGGAGGGAACAAGAGGATTTAAAGTTCAAGACCACATGATATATCATGATAATGTAAGAGCTTGATCCAAGCATGTTCTGAGGTCTGCTTCACTACACAGAAAATATATATGAATTACATCTCATCTAGTTTTTCACAAAATACACTTGACTGTACATGTTCCACTCATTGATATGTACTGAGCACAGGACACATGTAATTGGAGAAACACACCATCTCTGAAAGCCCTGCTGCAGAGCTTTGTGTGTTTACTCACAGGTGGGATGTTGTCAGATACAAAGCTAGAAATGGCTGCCAACCAGCAAGCAGCATACAACCAGTGATTGTTTGATGATACATTTGTAAGCAGCAAGTGACGAAAGCTGACATGTTGAGGGTGGATGATATAAAAACACCAGATTTTGTTTGAGCTAAAATCAGAGCATTTGACAGACTCTTCAGCTTTTATTCAGAGAAGAGACATGAACAAACTCATCACTTTTCAGTCAGCAGTGTGCGTACATCTGTCCTTGCCTGCATGCATGTTACATGTTGTGTTGTTAAGTGTGTGTCTGTATACCTCCAGTCCATGTCTAAGGACCCTCAGAGTAGACCGGGGTCCTCGTCCACAGGCGACGTACAACTGTGGTGTATCTTCATTGGCCAAATCAGCAATCTGTCGGGTAGGGAGCACACAGTGAGCCACAGACAAAAGGCGCTGTTCAAATCTATTCAAATAAGACATTTTATTACAGCAATACAGCCCCCAGGTATATGTGAGGCCCAGGTGTATAACAAGTGCCAGCAAAGACACACTCACACCCACTGACCTGGCAGGACATGATGGGTGACAAGTTCTCCTGTTCATCCACCAGCACCAGGTTCTTGAGAGGGCGGGGTTGAAAGAAGAAGGTGTCTCCCTCCTCCAGTGGCATCGCAGAGGAGAACTCAGGCTCCTCATCATCATCACCCAAGTGGGCAATCTGGTAAAGGTAACTGAGGAAACAAGCGAAGGGGTTTTGAGAGAAAAAACAGAGCAAGAGATATAAAGCAAAAGTTAAACAGACAGGAATTCTGGGCCAAGCTTTGAGGATATTTTCCTGGGTACAGCCAAAAGCCTTCTGCACGGAGTACCCCGCATGTAAAGTCAAGGTAATGTATGCTTTACATCAGGATGATTTAATTGAAAATTGACTGATTTAAATGAAAGTTAACTGATGTAGGACCGCCTAACTTCTTTATCAGGGGCATTATAAGGTTGCTGATTATAGAATAGCATTATGTGCTTTCTCTGTTTTGCTAGCAAGCCTAGTACTAGCATTGTGTGTGAAATTAAATTTTGACAATCTAAAAAACTATTAATTCATAATGACTTTGAGACCAGGAGGGAGCAGCACTCAGTGTGCTCCGGGCATAAATGCACAACAAACTTTTAATCAATTCTTTCCCTGTGCATCAGATATAATTTTCTCACAAAGCAATTATCCCCGCATTTTTTCTGGTGACACAGAATGTGATTTCGTCCTGAGGAACATCTGATTTAACCGCAAGGCTGTTCAGTGGCGCTCAGGTCATGCTCATGCTTTGCTCAGTTACAATTTTAATGCTGTCCTTACACTGTTCTAGTTCAGTCGGGGAATAAAGTTCCACATGAAATTATTTTATTCTGTGTCCCGTCATTTAAGAGCAGGCCACATTTAAGCTCTTGATGTCACAATATGACATTTTGATTATTGTCAGAGGAAATATCCCAGTTTCACAAATGATAGACCGTTCTACAGGCCCCCACAGGAAATATGATATCCCTGCAAGAAAACTATAGTGAACAGTAACACATAGTTAACTACTCCTGGGGTTATTTTAACTTTTTTGGGTCCAGCTTGGTACATTAGCTCGCTATGTTGTATATATTGACTTGGGTAAATGGTGGTGCAGGATTATCTTAAAGATGTGGGACCCCTTTGAAGTCACTTTTCGAAGGCACATTTTGCTAATTAGTATTCATCTTCTAAAACTCCCTGGTCATTTTGTAGATATCCAAAATGCTCCCACACTACTGATTTGAGGCTTTTTTGTTTGGTGGATATGACGCTGGAATGTCAGTTTAATGTGACAGTTTGACAGCTCTTTTCTCAACTTCAGGTGAGTGGTACAACTCTCTCACACATGCAACAAACCAGCAAACACACACACACACACACACGTTCCGGACTTGTGAGAAGGGATTTCACTACAAACACAAACAACTTGGCTCCCAAGATTTGTTTTTATAGGGGAACGCTTTGGGAATCAGGACATGTAACCTGTACATTATAAATTATACCATTATGGAACAGTGGCATAATGTGACCGTGGTTATGGCAAAACTGGTTAAACCCAGCATCCCTAATTGAAAGCTATATTCCATTAAAAGGTAATTCAAATTAACATGAAGAGGGGAGAAGAGGAACTGAAGTTGAAAAAATGACTTACTGGTTTCCAAACTCTGAAGACACAAACAAGAAGCCGGTCTTCAGTACACACATGGCTGTTGCCACAGGGATTGTGTCAAAGTATTTCAGCCTGATTTCTGTGACCTGAGGAAAAAAAACAGACCCCTTTAAAACACACACCTTAGTGCCAAACATTTACCTGATGAATAAATCCACAGATAACCACTTAATGACTACTTGTAACTACGTGATTGTTGTTGGTTTTCTGCTTTACATTACAGATGGGGGGTATGCAGCACCTGTTGAAAACGGATTTGGCTTCACAGTTTGTTTTACTGTAAAACTGATTTATAATTGTCATGTCACATGAAGAAGTGAAAAAGACAACACTACAGAGGTAGGACCCTCTATCTGTCCTTCAAATCTGCTCACCATTTCTTCATCTGTTTCCAGGGTAACCTTAAAGATGTCTCCCTGCTCTGTCTGGGCCAGGAAGAAGAACATGGACTTTGTCTTGTGGGTGGCTGAGCAAACAAATATCATGCCGCGCTCCGGGTCATCTAGGTCATTCTGCAGGAAGAGACAGATGAGGAAAGGAGGAGGGAAGGGGAGCAGATTATAAATAAATGTGCATGCAGAGACAAAACGTGACCTGACACAGATGCATAGAAAAATAATTAAAGTGGGTGTAGTGACTTGAATTATAGCACAGCTTCCAAATATACATGAATAAACATCCTTCCATTTGAAATATTAGTACTGGATTACAACATCACAAGTCATTAATTATAGCTGAAATCCTAACAGTCAACATTTTCATGCTATGTTCGTAGGAAGCTGTCGTAAAGACACTCAGAGAGTCCACATGGCAAAGTGCCTTACAGTTGACTGTGTAGCAAAGATATAGCTCTGTTTTTCATGACATATTTCTGTATTTAGGACTCACCCTGCGTCGTGGGATGGGACAGCGAATGTCGGGCTGGTCTCCAAAATTCTTGTAAGTGATGTAGTTTTCAGAGCAGATCAGAACTCCACTGGGCCCGTCTGAACCACCAGGAACTAGACAGAGAGGAGCGTTCAGTGGAATAAGTTTCTTTTCAAAATGATGACGACTACAGTGAAAACAGCTGGAATTCAAAAGCAGGATGGGCTCTGTTTTCCAATCTAAGGTTTCCCTTTACTACTTTGCCTCACTCTTAAATGCGGGTTACTGCATTGGTCAACTCGTGCTGAGATCAGAGGTGTAAAATCTTTCTCCAGTGTTAGTCAGAGAAGAGACATGACAAACTCATCACACCAACAACACTTCAATGTGGGTACTTATAATACTTTGTAAACCAACAATGTACATTATCTAACAGCAATGCCCGTATACTGGTTCTTATGAAAACAAATCAAATTCTGCGAACTGCGTTAGCATCATGCTGAACGAGGTGGATTATTTTAAATGCTGTCTATCGAGCAGGACCTCATCCATACATCATCAGACTTAAATGACTTGGTGATTAACCTGTTTGCATCACAGAAAGGCCGTCGATGTGAGCTTCTCTTCAAATAAGGTAGGCCCAAGCCCTAACCTCTTATTGAAGGAGCATTACTCCTTTCCTTACCTTTCTTATCTGTGTGTACAGCCGAAAATAGTCAGTGTGTGTGTATGTGTGTGTGTGTGTGTGTGTGTGTGAGCGAGCCAACAAGCCAGCAAGAGCGAGACAGAGAGAGCTTTTGGCATCAGAACATTTTTGTAGTTAGCCTAATTCTCTAGTTTTGTTGTAGTGCATTGTTGCTGTAGCCTGGTACTGTATCTGGGTGTGATGTTACTGTTGCTGCAGCTGAACTATTGATCAGTATAGGCCATAGGCCTAATGCTTAGCCCTCCCACCCAATTTCGCCACGAGCTACTGCTGGTTCCTTGGCACAAAAGGTGGAAGAAATTCCAAACTCAACAATAATACACTGGCATCCGATATCGGTCAAATTGTTATTTTAAACATCAATACTGATATTTGCCCAGAATTTCACAATCGGTCCATCCCTACTAAAACCTTGCAGACTCTAAATGTTTCTAAGTTTTGTTTCTACTGTCTCCTCTTAGTGTGTTTTGACACACCTGCCTGTCCCTGGCTCCATTTTTAACAGTCTCCAACCATGACTGTCAGCTGGGTGTATGCTTTCCTTCCTGACAACTATTGTAGCAACTGATTACTGGAGTGTGCAACCTCATGTGCACAAATGCTTACCGGTGATGAGGAAATTTCCATGCTCTTCTAATGCTTCACTGTACTTGCGCACCACATGATTCAAGCCGAGATCCAGCTCGTAAAAGGTGAGTGTCTGCTGCGTGTTGGCGGCAGCCTCTCCTGTCGGGTCATTGTCAGCTTCCTGTAAAGAGCAAATATCAGCAAAAAGGATCAGAGGTTTTCAAAATGAGTCCTATGTTAGATGCAGTATAGCCCCACTCCCAGACACTATGTGAGTGGTGGCGGCTTATAACATTAAATAACAAAAGAGTAAAAATGTTTTTTGAAAAAAGCATCAGGGTGGGCAACAATGTTTGTTACCAATGGTGCTTGAAAATCAAATATATGTGCTGAGATCAGAGGTGTTAAATCTTTCTCCAGTGACTGTCAGAGAAGAGACATGACAAACTCATCACATCAACAACACCAACAGTTTGCATTATCCAACCCATTCTCATTCAGACGTAGTAAAATCCACTCGGTCATGGATTTCTATGTCATACACAGATGCGGTATGTTACACCATCAGGCGGTGTCCATTTATAACGCCACAGGACAACACTGTAATTTAAGAAGCTGGAAAGTCTGGGCAGGTCCCACAACACCAGACTTTCACCCAGGAGCCTGGTGTTTGCTTCCTGTATGAATGTAGAGCCAAACCATGGCGTTTTTTTCTAACCACGTGCTTTTGTTTGCCTAAAGCTAGCCACGTGCGTTTGTAACACAGGGAAATAAACGTTAATACTCTGTGTTGTATCTAAGTAAGTTTATTTTGAAAAAGACTGTATGTATCTAACAAACAGAAACTGTACATTTCCTGGGAAAATAAATGTGTATTTTTAAAAACACAATGCATGTAACTTGACATGGCGCTCCAGGTCATCAACAACTGACACACCCAAGATACCTAGCAGGTAATATGTAGATGTGAAAGTCCGCTGACCAGGCTGCAATATGTGACGAGCTGGGAGTGAGAATGCTGCATTATGTTAAAGGCTTAATGTTCTTTTCTTGACCTTACCTCATAGTCCATCTCCAGACAGGCAAACATGGGATTTTCAAAGCCGACATCGACTCCCACTACATGGTAGACCAGTGTGTTTGCTTTATGGGCTTCCAGTGGAGAGGAGATGGTCAGTCTGGCAGCTGCGTCTCTGTTCAGAATATAAACCAGCTTCTGCTTCTCTATAGCTCCTAAACAGGAAAAAGACAAGGCATCCAAAACGCTTAACTTAATGTTTTATTGAACTGCACTAATAAATCCTTTCTAACATATGTATGTAAGAGGTGTTCGATAAAAGATTACAGTATAATACTGACACATTTTACTGTGTTGTAGAGGTATACTAATCTCATCTGTCTGTGTAACATCACCACAAGCACATACTGTAATTTAGCTTGTTTGGTTCAACCATTAGATTTATACAAACATTTTAACTCTTGGATATTAGTTTGTACCTATCATAACAGCTCTGCCTTTTGGGTCGACAGCCAGGAACTGTCCAGGGACGATGCGCCGGCAGCCACTCTTCCCAAATGTTTCCTGATGGATCTTCTCAAACTGGTTTTTCGATGGGTGATATTCCAGGATGACAATACGACCACTGTCACTCCCAACAACAATGTAGTCTACAAACACAAGAACATAGATAAATATAAAACACAAAGTTAGTAAATACACTTTTTCCCCCTTACACTTTATCATTTTTTAAATCACTGAGGTAATAAAATTCTGGTTGAAGAGGGAAACCCTTTCCCTTCCACAGAGGAATGTCAAACCAATGTATAACTCTGCACATATGGAAATCTATTTCATGAAAATCCATCCGAGGGAAAAAAACACATTTAGAGTAGTTTCTTTTATAATCCATGTTAGTAGTGCATGCACCCTTGGCTACGTACCTTTGGTTCCTCCAGTTAGTCTGAAGGCCATCAGGGATCTAACGATGCCAAACACCTCCACTGTGAGCAAAGTGTGCACCTTTCCTGTGTTGGCATCTGGCCGCAATAATTCCAAGATTTTTCCCCTGGAAACAACAATCTCCTGCATCTTGGTTCCTACAAAGACAAAAACATCTCTTTTCAGCATTCAGCATTTGTCACATTTCAGCTATCAACTGCAGAAAAACATTCAGAGGTGTTGCATTCTCTTAGAGAAAATACATGGGGAAAATGACACGTTGAAAACTCACCACCAGCACTTAAAAAGTAATGCATGAGCATTTGATAAATAGATCCCAACACAGAAACACAAAAGTATGCATTTTAAAAGACAGAAATTTCAACAGACAGAAGAAGATTAATTACAACTCTGTACAAGTTAACTTTTTTCACACACATCAGGAGCAAACTGGGGCTTGGTGTTTCCTCAAGGACACGTTGCCATGTGGAAAAGAGAAGCTGGGTATTGTTACACCAACCCTAAAATGAATGAGAATCCGCCTCTGACAACTGAGTTACAGCTGCTATACAAACTTCTCTGACCATCGAGCGGTAGTCTTCCTACTGTAGCTTTTAATAAATTTGACAACAGAAGTGAAAAATGATAACACAGCCACACAGGAGAAGAAGGCGGGCAGTAGTCTCACCTGAGAAGTTTCCATGGATGGCATGAGTGATGCCCGTGGCACGCTGCAGGGTGATGTTGTACAGAAACATGGCTCCTTTTCTCTGGCTTCCCCACAAGGTTCTTCAGGGGCTGCAGACAGAGCACTTAGCTCGGCCTAGAACTGTGGGACACAGAGAAAAACAAAGAGAGATGTTTAAGTGTGAACATTAGTATCTGTGTTTATGCTAAGACCAGTTTATTTTCAATGACCAGTCTTTTAAATGTGTCGTTGTTTTGGTGTGTTGGCTGTTTCAGAGTAACGTATTCAAACTGAACTGAGCTGCACTGTTGAGGAAGCAGCACTGTGGTAAAAGTGATTTACCTTCCAGAGACGAAATAATCTCATGGCAGTATAACCATTTAGAGTTAGCAGAGGGTTAGCATGCTTGTTGGACACAGTGACTGAAGTTAGTTACATGTCATTACCCGGAGAGCAATGCTAATGTTAGCTTAGCAAGCAGGAAGACGGACTTCACGCTTAGCAAGTCTAAATAACTATCAAGTAGGTTTGTTTGCAAAGTTAGCTCCTTTGTTATAAAACCATAGAAGCACAAAGCTACCTATCTTTAGCCTTAATAATTCAGCTTGGCCACAACAGCGCACACAGTGAGCCTACACCGCTGACTTATCAACTTGAATTCAGCTGACTGAGTTCCCATTCATACAAAGCGCCACTTTTGCCTGCCGCTATCCCCCATTTTTCATGCTATATTACTTCAGACGGTGCGCACTTCACATGCATATCACGTCCATTTGATTACTAACAAGCTATATATTTGTACAATAAAATATTTACCGGCGTCTTAGTTAGGATGATTCTGATTTCAGACGGATAAAGTTTCATATAAACTAAATAGTCTCCATGAAACTGTGGGAAGCCGACGATGAGCCGCCGTTAGTGGGTCCTTCGTCAGCCAAAATGACGTCACGTGAGGTGGCCCACACAGTGCCTGACAGAAACCTGACACATGCGGTAGTAGCGCTGAATCTCCAGCAGATGCCAACAAAGACCTTAATAACGGACCTAAATATAATGAAACACGCGGACAGGGTGGAGGGTATGTTCAGTGTTGTACAGTTACAGTCATTGTTTAGATATCTTGCCCCCCCCCCTTTTTATGCACTTCATCCATGCGCAATAAGTGATCTTGTGATGGATATTATTTCACATTCATTAACATTACGCTGCTTAACTCTAAAAACAAAGCCCGCTGACTGACTAATATGGCAGCAAAATGAATAGCCTACATACACTCTGTCCAGACTAAGAAAAAAGCATTGCTTTGTCATTTCCTTGGGGCAATAATAACAAAAATGTATTTATTTATTTACGTTTTAACAGATGTGACAGTTTTTTTAAAAATATAAGCCTCTATCAAACGATTGTGTAGTCACTTCATGGTATTTGCAAAACAAAGAAAAAAATATACCAACATACAGTACAGGCCAAAAGTTTGGACACACCTTCTCATTCAATGCGTTTTCTTTATTTTCATGACTATTTACATTGTAGATTCTCACTGAAGGCATCAAAACTATGAATGAACACATGTGGAGTTATATACTTAACAAAAAAAGGTGAAATAACTGAAAACATGTTTTATATTCTTGTTTCTTCAAAATAGCCACCCTTTGCTCTGATTACTGCTTTGCACACTCTTGGCATTCTCTCCATGAGCTTCAAGAGGTAGTCACCTGAAATGGTTTTCCAACAGTCTTGAAGGAGTTCCCAGAGGTGTTTAGCACTTGTTGGCCCCTTTGCCTTCACTCTGCGGTCCAGCTCACCCCAAACCATCTCGATTGGGTTCAGGTCCGGTGACTGTGGAGGCCAGGTCATCTGCCGCAGCACTCCATCACTCTCCTTCTTGGTCAAATAGCCCTTACACAGCCTGGAGGTGTGTTTGGGGTCATTGTCCTGTTGAAAAATAAATGATCGTCCAACTAAACGCAAACCGGATGGGATGGCATGTCGCTGCAGGATGCTGTGGTAGCCATGCTGGTTCAGTGTGCCTTCAATTTTGAATAAATCCCCAACAGTGTCACCAGCAAAACACCCCCACACCATCACACCTCCTCCTCCATGCTTCACAGTGGGAACCAGGCATGTGGAATCCATCCGTTCACCTTTTCTGCGTCTCACAAAGACACGGCGGTTGGAACCAAAGATCTCAAATTTGGACTCATCAGACCAAAGCACAGATTTCCACTGGTCTAATGTCCATTCCTTGTGTTTCTTGGCCCAAACAAATCTCTTCTGCTTGTTGCCTCTCCTTAGCAGTGGTTTCCTAGCAGCTATTTGACCATGAAGGCCTGATTGGCGCAGTCTCCTCTTATCAGTTGTTCTAGAGATGGGTCTGCTGCTAGAACTCTGTGTGGCATTCATCTGGTCTCTGATCTGAGCTGCTGTTAACTTGCCATTTCTGAGGCTGGTGACTTGGATGAACTTATCCTCAGAAGCAGAGGTGACTCTTGGTCTTCCTTTCCTGGGTCGGTCCTCATGTGTGCCAGTTTCGTTGTAGCGCTTGATGGTTTTTGCGACTCCACTTGGGGACACATTTAAAGTTTTTGCAATTTTCCGGACTGACTGACCTTCATTTCTTAAAGTAATGATGGCCACTCGTTTTTCTTTAGTTAGCTGATTGGTTCTTGCCATAATATGAATTTTAACAGTTGTCCAATAGGGCTGTCGGCTGTGTATTAACCTGACTTCTGCACAACACAACTGATGGTCCCAACCCCATTGATAAAGCAAGAAATTTCACTAATTAACCCTGATAAGGCACACCTGTGAAGTGGAAACCATTTCAGGTGACTACCTCTTGAAGCTCATTGAGAGAATGCCAAGAGTGTGCAAAGCAGTAATCAGAGCAAAGGGTGGCTATTTTGAAGAAACTAGAATATAAAACATATTTTCAGTTATTTTACCTTTTTTTGTTAAGTACATAACTCCACATGTGTTCATTCATAGTTTTGATGCCTTCAGTGAGAATCTACAATGTAAATAGTCATGAAAATAAAGAAAACGCATTGAATGAGAAGGTGTGTCCAAACTTTTGGCCTGTACTGTATATCAATCTGTTACCATGGAATAAGTAGTATTACCAGTGCTAGTACTATTTTCCACTTTTTAAATCTCGATATTTAGCATTACAGTACATTGAAAACATCTTGGAAATGTTCAAAAATCATACTGATGTAATTTTTTTTCATCAAATATATAATAGAATAACATTGAATACATGGTATTAACAACAGTGAATATGCATCCTGTTTCATTTTAGAAATATTGTAAAAAAAAAAATCTTAGCATCACTACCTTTACCATAAAAGGACAGTTCAACTGGTTGAGCAGGCTTTTAGATACTAAAAAAGAACACACTTACAAAATTATTTCATCATATGTATGTTGGATGACATTTAATGTATCATTTAACAACATCGAATGATCAAAAGTGATGTTATTCATGGTATATAGTCAATTTCAATAAATATTAGCTCAATGCTAATGCTGTCGGCTAAAGTCCGACAGGTCCACCAGTGACGCCATCTGAACAAACTCATGTCATGCAGTCTAACACAAGTAAAGAAGATAAAGAAGAAGAAGGAGAAAAAGAAGGGAAAATAAGAAACTTTTTTTGTAAAATCCCACTCATTGATAATTATGTACACAGTAAATACAATTACGTCAATCACAAAATTACATCTACACAATAGGCTACAGTATTTACAGTAGCAGGGTAAGCATCACTATAGATTTATGGAAATGTTGGGACAAGAAGATACAGGACATTTGTTTTTGTCTGATAGTGTGGATTTTCCTTTTTCATCTAATGCCATGAAAAGAAACTTAAGATAAAAGTTAAGTGTTTAAGGCTTGAATACATTTGTGCATTGTTTTTCTTAAGTTGTATTTGAACAACATACTGTGGGAGCTTAAATGCATCGAGTCAGTGGTCAGATGTAATTTACACCAGAAGTGTGTGTGTGTGTGTGTGTGTGCGTGTGTGTGTGTGTGTCTGTCTGTGCAGCAGCAGCATTTTTTCCCATCTTGACTATCAGGTGTCCTCAGGGTGGTGTGGTGGACATGATGGTGCAAAACCACAGCTGACACTGATGTCTGGAAATAAGCACAGTCACTGCGCATGCTGTCTCTGTCTGGCCCTCTCTCTCTTTCTCTCACACACACACACACACACACACACACGAAAGAGGTCATTAGTAGTCAGGTGGACTATGGAAACACTTCTTTGACTTTTCCCTGCCATGCTGGCCTCACTTATGTTTGGACTGGACACACTCTAAGAACACTACCAGTCTTTCTGACAATACATAATATCAGCCCAGATGGATTCACAGCTCCTTGGTCCATTTAATGTGCTGAGTGGACCAGAAAATGACAACTGAGCCAATTGTTTTTAGCAGTCTGGTGAGTGGTGGTGCCATCACACTGAAAAATCACCTCAGCAGTGCCATGTTGAACTTGGTTTCTTATTTAGGAACTAATTTTAGTGCCAGTGTATAATGAATATTTATGATTTAATCATAGGGAAGTAGTCGGCCATATGTGACATATGAAGAAAGAGTAGCCGACCTTATTCCTCATTCTGGATATTGATTTCTTCTCAGTTTAATGTTTGGAGCAGAGCATGGACATTATTTTTTTTACTCATTCTTCAGTGTGATCTGTGGGTGAAAATGTCTTTGTATTATATTTCAAGAGGATATTGACTTCTCAATCAGTCCCTGAAAATGTAAGAACCTTCAGTGTGTGTGTAAAAACTACAAATTCCAAAATGCTTTGCATGCATCAGGAATGCAGAGAGGGGGGGGACAGCATGCCACAACACAGCCCAGAGATGAGTGAACTCTGTCCTGAAAATATAAAGAGCATGAAGTGAGTAAAAGTGGGTTCATATTCTCATGATTGATTTGGATGAGGGAGGCAGGAGTTAGTTTGTCAGCCACATGGGTGCAACCCATAATTAGTGCATCTATTACAGTGTGTGGATATGATAGGAAAACAATAAATATGAATGATTTATAATCAATACTCAAATATTTAAAGGTAAGTTTTGAGCCTGTTTGTGCAGCTGTAGTGTCAGAGCAATGTAATTGTGGTAGTTTTGCTCTTCTGAATATCTTCTTTGTGGGATTCATTCAACTGTCAGCATAAAGCTGGGGAGTTCACTTGATTAGGAGGCTACCTGTGAGTTTGTTTTCAAAGTAAAAGCGGCAACATTGTGCTAATGGGTATTGGCAACATCAGAATATATTTACTAAATGTGAACAGATCCCCTCAACATCTTTCTATCTTACTATATTTTGGTCTGTTTAATATCAGAATTGCATTTTTTCCCCCTCTTGTACTCAAAATTTTAGCCTATTTATAGGCTAAACAACTGGTTCTAATAAAGTCTAATAAAGATTAGATTAGTTCGATTTTAGTTAAGATAGCAAATAGTTTTTAGTGATTATGATCCAAAATGTTTAGACTAAGGCTCAGAGATAATGAGGATTGTTGGAAATGTCAAGGAACCAAAGAAACATTTATGCATATCCATGAATGTATATATGATTTTTGAAGTTATAATTTTGATTTCACTCCTAAACTGTATATATTAGGTAAACCACTTATTTTAGGGAACTGTGGGGCTTCAGAGATGATCCATTTTTGCATTCTGGTGGGAAAACAGGTTTTTGTCAAGGGGCTGGAACTTATGTGTTGCTACAACAAAACAGAATGTAGGACAAAAAGGACAATGTATAGGCTAAATAACTTAACCATATGTATATGTAGGAATATATATGTATATGTATGTATGTATCCCTGGTTCAGGCTGGGCAACCAGCAGTAAACAGTGAGCTGGAACAGCGTCCACCAAGCAGCACGGACGTATGGACTAGAAGTCC